AGCCTGGGCTACACAGTATTAAGTTGCAAGTCAGCAGGGTAATATGGTAATACTCTTGCCTCAAAAAACCAGATAAAGAGCAATGATGACATCAGACAGACATAGAAACTGGTAACTAGAGTAGTAGTTCTCAACCTTCCTAATGCTGTGACCCTTTAATACAATTCTTCATGTTGTGGTGACCCCCAGCCCAAAATTATTTTTGTTGTTACTTCATAACCAATTTTGGTACTGTTAACAATCATAATGTAAGTATCTTTGAGAGTTGTGACCTACAGTTTGAGAACTGTTGAACTAGAGGGAAGGGTTTGCCATACCAACTGAATGCTATCTTTCCTTCCTCAACAAAGCACAATAAAATACCTGCACCCTAGGCTTCCTCCCTGGCCCCGGGAGCGGTGACGCATGCGCATGGCTGAAAGTCCCAAATGGGGCTGGAGAGATGCTCAGCAGCTAAGAGCACTCGCTCCCAGCACCCCAGTTCCGGAGGCGTCTGATACCCTCTCCCGGGAGGCCTCCAAGAGTACCTGTGTGCACATGTACACATACGGACAACTAATGCCAGATGGCTAGATTCACTGTTCAAAGAAAGCATCCACCCCTTCTCTATGCTATCTGCAGAGAGCACTGCTTCCTGCTTTATGGGACTACAGAGCTGTATCTGTGCTAGCAGGCTCCAAAAACAGGGGGTTAGGGGGCTTCCCCCTGGCTGGCCATGTCTGAGGACATTTCTGATTGGACAGCTGGGGGAAGGCGGGAGGTGGGCATCTAGCAAGGATGCACAATGGAGCCCTCACAACAAAGAACCCCAGCCAGTGCTGCAGTTGAGAAACCCTGGGAATAGCCAGACAAGTGGGTATCTGTGTGCACTGCTCTCATCTCTCCCTCCGCAACAAACAGAAAACATGGACAGATGGACACACAACACGTCCTCCTCTAAAACAAACCAGGGTCCCACTAGGTAGACTTAGCTGGCTTGGGTCTTGTTAGACTAGGTGGGACTCACATTTGCCTTTGCTTCCTGAGTTCTGGGATTACAGCTCTCTTTACTTCTATCATTTTGGTTAACACCTTTCAAAGACCCTGCAGAGGCCACATGTGACATGGCCTTCCTATCATGACTGTACCCTGACCTAGCCTTGGAGTGGCTAAGTGTACTAAAGCAATGATCTGGGAGTCAGCTCCAACTGCAAGGGGAGCTTAGCAGGCCTCACTGAGGCTGAGCCTAAGAACATGGCTG